TGTGTCCCATGATCCTCTCCTGATAAACATTTCCTACCCTGATCCTCCCCTCCTTACAAAACTCCTTAGGCTGACCGACAAAAGCCTCGGTTCTATCGGTGGGTTGGGGGCCAGCCGATAGACTAACTAGCCCCTCCTGCGCTAAGGCCTGCGCAGTTGATCGTCGTAAGGGGGGATGAAGGAGTCCTGGGGGGTTGAGGTCGGCGGTAGTACCTTCGCAATGCAACACGCCCTCTTTGGTCCGGATTTCAACCGAAACGGTAGCCTCTCTGAGTAGCGCCAGAGAGGAAACGGTCAAGCGTCCCGTCAGAGGGCCGCTGCAAGATGTGGGGGGGGGGGTAGTTTTCTGTGCTAGATAGTTAGGGTTATGCTGAAGAGGTGAGGATGAGTGGAACAACTGGGGGATTCTGAACCGGTAACCCAGCCACTCATTACGAGCTTCTGATGTCGCACCAAAATAAACATCTACTAACAAAATAAACATCTATATCCAGTCCATAGTTCTAGTCTAATTTAATTTTTAATAGGACACTCCCAGATGTGCGGGCTCCGTCGAGGGTGGGAAGCGGACTGGTTGAATGATACACCATACATAACATGGACACCAACAGGTTCAAAATACAGTCACAAACAGACACCAATACACCCTCTTGTGAGTTGGTCTTAATGGCGTCCTCAGGAGAGCACAACACGCCTGAAGGGAAACCGGAGCCAGGTTGGACACAAGTGCAAAAAGGGTGGAAAGGCGGCAGAGAAAACTCTGTCCACCACTGCCCAGGCTGCTCTACAGGTGTCCAAACGCAAGGAGAAGCAGAAGGCCCGGATGCAAAGGAAGAAGCAGCGCAGGAGGGAATCCCGAATGTCAGCTTCTTCTAGAAAGAAAGAAAGAAAGAAAGAAAGTTTATTGACCATAACTTACATGAACAATGATAATGTATAAGAGAAAAAGGAAGTAAAAAATAAAAAAAAATACAAACATAAAAAAAAAATACAACATTTTCATGCAATAACAGCGTGGTCAACATGGACCCTATCTCAGCGATGGCCCCTGTGCCATTTCAAGATGGGCAAAATGACACAGAGGCGCTGTTATTCTGATAGGGCCCATTGGTTGAATCACCTACTAATATAAAATAAAATAAAAGAAAAAACAAAACTAAAAAGAAATAAAAATACATCCTACAATGACAAGTGTACAACAACAAATCAAGTGACATAAAAAAAAAAATAAATAAAGAAAAAGTATACCTACATAAACCTATATACATAAACAGATCCATAATACAAGTAATATAGTTAATACATGAATACAAAATAAATATGGTATAAATACATAAACAATAAATATAAAAACTGAGTTAGGCCGTCTGTGTAAAATTCCTCTGCCCTTCTCAGAGGAAAGCACGATAATTGTCAAAATAGTATTCTATAGGTTATTAAAAACGTTTGTCTCTCGTAAAATATCAAAAAACTACCCTTCGATATGTTCATAATATTCAAATATATTATGACACGTAGGAGATGCCACGTATCTGCCACGTTCCAATCATAAGGAGCCCATATTCGAAGCATCAAAAGATGCATCTTCCCAAAGATACATTAATTATATCGTGTAGATGAAATTCGCGAAGTGAACATCTTGCCCTCCCCACCGGATACGTTCCCAAAGACCACCCCAAGAGTGTCGTGCACAACAAGGGTAAATACACATATAATTACTATACATTGTTAGCTTTTTGTAATGACAATAGCAAATTTTTGAGGTTACTACTAAATGTTTTCTTCGTTTTTAGGTCACGCAACGGTGGTGGGATATCGTTCCAGCATTTAGAGGCAGCATATCGGAACGATTCGCGGAAGGCCATAGTTCGATGTTTTTGAGTAGTAAAGATATTAGTACAAGCTCTTTTCTGATATCTGCTACTTTCCTGCGCCCATACCAACTTTGCATGAAGGTATCGTGGCCTCCCCGTATGGACCAGCTCGAACAACAAAGTTGCCAGATGTAGTCTTCTGCGTGCATCCATTTTCAGCATATTGGCTGCGTTCAGATATGGTGTGACATGTGTGCGAGGTGGTATATAAAAGCAGAAGCGTGCACAGGCATTCTGTACGCGCTGAATTATGCCAGTAGTGCCCGAACGAAGGCAAGGTCCATACACTGTGTCACAATAATTGAATTTAGACAGGACCAAGGATTCGCACAACCGAGTTCGAAGCTCCACACTCAGATAGGGCCTTACTTTGTAAAGTATTTTGAGGCGATAAAAGGAGGCTCTGGCACATTCTGTTATATGAGCTTCAAAATTAAGGTAACTGTCCAACATCATACCCAGGTTTCTAACTCTCTCCACTCTCTCTATCTTCTCTCCCCTTAAGTTAATATCAAATGAACCACAGCTGTTGCTAAATTTAGTCAAACTTTTCTTTGTGCCAAATAAAATTAATTTTGATTTTTTAGGGTTTAAGGTGAGACAGTTTGAGTTGCACCAGGCAGCTATGTGAGCCAGATCCTCATTTATTTTTAACTCAGCGGCAGTATGATTTGAAGGAGAGAATGGCAAATATAATTGCAGATCATCAGCGTATAGATGGTATTGACAGTGAGTGATACTCTTTGTGATGTCTGCACTGTACAAAACATAGAGAATTGGGCCTAAGATAGACCCTTGAGGAACCCCACGGGAAACCGGTAGAAGAGTTGACTGAATTTTCCCATTTGCAGTTGTTAACTCGACATACTGCTGCCTGTTCGAGAGGTAACTATTAAACCACTTCACTGCTTTTTCGTGGACCCCATAATATGATAACTTTGACAGCAAAAGTGTTGTATTTATTGAATCGAAAGCACGCGAGAAGTCCAGCAACAGCATAGCATTGATCATCCCAAGGTCCTGGCCAGCAAGCAAGTTGTCCACGACATCACATAGGGCAGTGGCAGTACCATGACCTCTTCGGAAACCAGACTGCATCTGCGGAAGTATATTGTAATCTTCTAAATACTTGGTTAACTGGTCGCAGACTATCCTTTCGAGAACCTTAGACAAGCATGAGAGCAAACTAATTGGCCGAAGATCCTGCACTGATTCTGGCTCGCTGACTTTTGGAATAGGCTTCACAACAGCGACTTTCCAGCTGTCAGGAAATGTGCATTCTTCTATCGACTTGTTGATTATAGTAGTGATGGCTTTCAATGACTGGGGTAAAGACAGTTGTAGCATTTCCAGGGATATGCCATCATGACCTTGAGCATTTGACTTGAAACCTCTGATAGCTTTAAAGACTGTATCCTCACTGACAGTTTGAAGCAAAAAAGTGCTGACTCCGTATCTATGATGCTCAAAAAAAGTAAGATCAGATAATGTTACCACATTGCTGCCAGGAGCATTAAGAAAATGAGCATTCATGAGATCTGCATCATACAAAAAAACTGGAATGTCTAGATTCCCCTTATTGCTTGGTAACACTGTACTTTTAAGGTTTTGCCAAAGCTTTTTTGAGTTATTTAAATTATTATTAATATTCCTATCAAAGTAACACCTCTTTTCACTATCAATAGCAGTAATTACTAATTTTTTCAAGGTTTTGTAACATTCTTTTAATACCGTAGTGTTTTGCAGTTTGTACTTTTTGTAGTAATTATCTCGAATTTTCATCATAGACTTTATAGTATCTGTTATCCAGGGATGAGGAGGATGCTTAAATTTCTGTTTTTTGATTGGGGCATGAAGATCAAATAAATTTTTTATGCAACAAGTAAATGAAACGACTAAGCTGTCAATGTCTCCCATATCATTAAAATTACTCCATTGAATAGAGTCTAGATCTCTGTTGAACTGTTCAAAAATAATATCTCTCATCGGCCTGTATGTCACCCAGCGAGGTTTTGGCTTCTCTTTTCTTATTTTAAATTCTGCAACAATCATGGCATGTCCCCCTAGATCTGGAGAATGTTTAACTCTGATTTGCAGGGGTTGTGCATCGGTACAGATTACGTCTATGAGAGTCTCACTGTGGTCTGTGAAGTGGGTCGGCTCATCGACAAACTGGGTCAAATTTACACTATGCAAGAATTGATGAAACTGCTTATATGCAGTACCACTTTTATTCAATAGATCTATGTTAAAATCACCAAGTAGAATCAAACGATCATATTTTGCAAGTGACATAACAGAGCAGGTGAGAGCGTCCAAAAATATATGTATATCCTGCCGAGGTGGTTTATAGGCTGTTCCAATAGCAATATTCTGGTTGTTTACGCGCAAAGTTAGCCACATCTGTTCAACCACTGATGAGGTAGGGTACTCACAGTAACGAAAGCTTATACCTCGATGAACGTAGAAGCCCACTCCACCACCCCGACCCCTCTTAATGTGATCAGCTCTCGGCACATGAGTAAGACGGTAGCCTGGCAACTTAGGTGCTTTGTCATCCTGTCCCGAACCGAGCCATGTCTCATTTATAGCCATTATGTTTGGAACTAATTCCTGAATGGCTGCTGTAAACTCCTCATGCTTAGTGCCAAGTGACCCGGCGTTAAAGAGTCCAACTTTAAGATTTCTAGTGTTCATTATTAAAGAGAAAAAGTATATAATTACATTTAATTGATATTATGAAGTATGACTGAATATAAGACAATATGATGCCAATTTTAGCTACTTTTTCTAAGTTAAGAGCATTCTTACTCATGTAAAAAATTGTGCCAATATGTGTTACATTATGATTGTATATAAAATAAAAAATATGTATATGTTTATAGTGTATATTGTATATAAAATAAAAAATATGTATATGTTTAACGACATAAAAAGTAACGTTAAATAATAATTCATTAATTTTCTTAACCTTCATACATTTACAAATAATAATATTTAATGATTTCTCACAGATGAACATAAATATAAACAAGTTGTTGATAAAAGGAAAGACAACCAAAAGACAAATTGACACAAATTGGGAGTCATACATTGGCGAAAAAGTAGGGTAAGTGATATAATTAAAGATCTTAACATTGTATGATAAAATATGTGGTATACACTGTACATAATTTTATGTCTTTGTAGGTCACTAATTCGATACTGCTTCTTGAGGGCCAAACGCACGGGCGAGGTCTTCGACCACTCGAAATTGAAAGATGGGTTTCCCATCACCTTGCCGAGTGTATATTCGACCACGCTTCGTCCAAGAATAGCGCCAGTGCAACCGACGGCACTCCTCGCGCACGCGGTGAAAGAGCTGACGGTTCGGTCGGGTCAGTCGCTCGTTGACATACACTCGGTTTCCATCGGGTGCAGCAAGAGAGCGACGTACGCGCGCCGCGCGCAGCAACTCGTCTCGCAGGTGTCGGCGGGACAGGCGCACCACAACGCGGCGCGCGCGACCCCCCACTTCGGCCGGGGGTGGGCCCACGCGCTCCGCGAACACCACATCGTGTTCCTCCAGCTTCACGCCAATGCGCGCAGCCAACACCGTCACAGCCTGGACAACCCCTTCACCCTTCTCTTCCGGGAGGTGGCCGATCTCGAGGTCAGCAAGGAGCGCCTCCTGATCACGGTCGTTGAGCTCCTGCTTCAGCTGCGATATAGTGAGTTCGAGCTCGGCAACTTTTTTCGGGATCTTCTCCAGTGCATCCACTCTCTGCTCTACTAGGTCGAGACGCGACGTTATTGTCGTAAGAGAATCGCGTAAACTCGCCATCTCCTTTCGGAATTCGCGTATCTCTGCCATGTATCCCGCGAATTCGCGACGAAACTCAGATACCTCGGCGACTTCCGGCTGCTCATTAACGTTGCTCACGCTTATCGGACGCCCTGCCTCAGGCCCAGAGGGCGCTGCCTCCGTATCGGTATCTCCGCAGATGTTTTTTACTGGAGTTTGGCTGTTGTCACCTCCTCTTCGGGATTTATTCGCGCAGTTCGGGCAAAGCCAACCCTTACTCATTTGCGCTTTTTCAGTTAATCCCAGACAGACTTTGTGAAACTTAAATGGACAAACACTACAAGCAGCGGCCCCTGCCGGCGATAAAAATTTTCCACATGCCCCGCAATTAGGCATGTTGGTTTATATCAATGCTCGACGTAAAAATATATGAACCACAAGTGATAGCACTGCAATTCCCACAAGTGAAGAACGCTGCAGTACAGATAGTTCGAAGAACAAGACCTAGATGGCTCCCGTGTTGAAATCCGTTCCTTTTTGTAGCCCGTTGTATCCAAGAAGGTGGCGCTGATGAAGAGTCGAGATGTGGGTAGCAGAAAGGATCAATTTCAACTTAAAGCTGGTGTCAGTAAGATAAATTCAAACGGATCATATAAGCAAGTGCACTCGACCGCTAGAACGCAGCACGCACCGCCAACTGTTTAGCACGAGAGTGTTCACTTATGCGGGCGACAGGAAAACAAATTTGAATGAAGCACTGTCGAGGCAAGTTCATTCGACCACTAAAACGCAGCACACGAAATTTTTAGAACTTCTTTTGTTTGTATTTTAAAAGTTCTGGGAGATATAGATATAATAGTTTCACCACCAAAAAGTATCACTTTATTCACACTGAATTGCAATGAGGTTAAAAGACAATTGTTACTGTTTACAGTGAAATGAGTTAAAATAACACGGAGCAGACAAAATCGGTTACAAATCGGTTACGGTGATTTACTCTCGGTCTTCTAGCAACCAAATTGGCCCAAACACCGGCACGGTGGAGGGAACGCAAGGGGGAGCGAAAGATGGGAAACAGGGTAACCTGCCACTGCCCAAGCAAGTCCAAACGATGCCCACTACCAGGCAACTTGTTACCTGGAGTTACGACCCGTTAGTCGTCCCGAACGGATCAGTTTCGTAACAGCTCCATAGTTAAAAATTCGTAACTTTGGCAACTTTAGAGATATAGCGACGTGGAATATACTAAATGTGAAAGTAAACCCTATACGCAGACGAAAAGTGCTTGAAGATCGGTGCAGTATAACGAAATATATAGCGAAAATAGTGAAATTGACACGTGTTTTTAGTGAAAATTACCAAGTTTATTTATAATAACTTTTTACTCTGTGACCGGATTTTTGAGAGCGAGGTGTCGTTAGACGCGCTCTCGTGAGACGCATCATTGGACACGTCGACACCACGTGGCTGGAGAGGTATTTGGAAAAAACCAAATAACCCCTCAACACCACGTGGCTGGAGAGGTATTTGGAAAAAACCAAATAACCTCTCGCCACGAGGTACCAGATCCGGGGGATCTGGGGGAGTACCGACTATACAAGCAGACGAGGACCATCAAGACGAATAAAAAGAACCAAAAAAAGAGAAAAATACATTAAGGTTTGACGATTCTACGCATTTTTCAAATTTTTCATCTGCAAAATTCATAGTGTCTGGGGGATATGGAGAATAGCTCAAATTTTGTGAGCTGCCCGCCTAGGCATCCCCCAGCACTAACTGGGAAAAATTCGTCAACTCGGTAGCTCTTTGACATCGGCCGGAATCCTTTGAGAAAAATCGGACCCAATTTTCTCCTGACTCCGGAAGACGCAATTTTGAAGATCGGGATCTGAAATTTTTATATAAGCTGTAAATATATTAGATCTAAGTGTGTACAAAATTTCAGATTTTTAGATTAAGTATTTTTAAGTTATAGATAAGTTAATGTGTTTTTGCCCCCTCAAGGGGTACGGTGTTAATCCAGAGCTTTTTTAAGGGTACCATCGAATATACTACTATATGAGCCCAAGGACCAACCCTCTAGCCCCCGTATTAAATATTGGACTAATTTCGGCCATATTGGTCCAACTCGGCCCACATTTTTGACCGCGAATAACTCCGAAACCGGAAAACGTAGAACGAAGCGGTTTTCGGAATAGTCACCAGCAAAACCGCCCCTAGGCCTCTCCAGGACGCAAAATTTAAAAATCTCAATTTTAACTTTTGGAAAAAATTTTAGTCCCAAAATTTTTGAAACTCAAATTTGGAACGGGATTCCCGTAGACCTCTCCTTTTTTTTACCAGGGGAAATGCCCGCGCATACCACCCTGTTACGGGGAAACATTGGATACGACATTACACTAAACAAACAGAATATACAATATAAAAAATAATATAAACACACAATACACAACATAAATAGAAAACACAACACAAACACAAGACAACTTACACAAAGGAATTCATGTGCAAATGCCATGACGACATAAACACATGAATTCCAATACAAAACAAACACAAGAGGACATGACTCGGAAGCTAACTGGGTTAGACACCGACTCATAAATATAAGCATAAAAAATACAGAGTAAATAAGAATAGGTCTAGTGCACCTTCATATATTATTGAATATATTGAAAGTGACCAGAATAATAAGCAGGCATACAAATAAATAGAAGGATAAAACAAAGAGGGCAAAACACACAAAATACAATAGAATAAGTAGAATAAAAATTAATATAAGAATGTAATAGAATAAATAGATGTATAAGAGAAATATATATTAGAATAATAAATAATAAAGGTCAAAATAGCATTATATAGATAAGCAACAACAAATAAAAGAAAATGTATACTAGAATAATAAATAGGAACTTAATATTATATAAATAAAGCTATTGAAGAAAATAGAGTAATAAATAAAAATAATATATGTACAAGATAGAATAAGAAGATAAGAAAGTGTATAAGAGAAGTAATACAAAACAAAACTAAAATAATAGAGGTTAACAGAGAATATATAGATTAGTTAAAACAAAAAGAAGAAAATGTAAACACTAGAATAAAAAATAGGAATTTAATATTATATAAATAAAAAGAGATAAAAATAATATATGTATAAGATAGAATAAATAGAATAAACAAATAAAAACCTTAGATCTGTAAATCCCTGAAAGTAGAAAATAGAAAATAATAAAAATTTGTATTATATAAAATTACAATAATTAGAATAGATAAACAAAGAAAATGTAACCAATATAAAAGTAGAAAAATTTAGAATATAACATAGAATTATAAAGTAGAATAGTGAATAAAAGAAAATGTAAAAATAAAAAAAAACCCAGAAGTCCAAATCCCAGTTAATAAATAAATAAATAAACAATAAATAAAGAACTAATATAGTACAGTAGAAATAGGCGGGAAATCCCACCCGCAAAAGTGTGAAAGGCGATGGATGGAAGTATCGTATGAGGTATGAAAGTACGAGAGGCATAATTGATAGAACTCGAATGAATGAGAACTATAGATTAAAAAGAGCCTGCTAAAAAGTGGGGGAAAGCGTATAAAAAAAAAAAAAAAAAGCTGGCCCGGAGGTCTTCTCCCTGCGTTTTGCCCTTTGTGGGGGTTTGCATGACTTACCCCCCAGCATATGGTTCGACGCTGCTCCAGCCGCCGCGCACACCATGCAGTGTGGGGCAGCAGGGCACTCTCTGGCCTTATGATTAGGCCCTCCACATCGGAGGCACAGGGCGCTCCGGTCAACCCGATCGCATTTTGCCACAACATGGCCCACTTCGTGACATCTAAAGCACCGCATTGGTTTCGACGGCAAGATGTTTATAGCCACTGAGACCCAGCCCACCAGTAATCGTTTCCTGCTACCCTCGATCAGCTTTTTGGCGGCAGAAATCGGACACCTAACCACTGCTGTGCCCATGCCGCGTCGACTTTGTCGAATCTCGCTCACTAGTACCGTGTCAATTTGACACCCTCCTTGTTCGGATACAGCCTCCTGTATATCCAGCGCCTCCACAGCGTCGTCCAATCCCGATATGCAGAATGCAGCCGTTTTCATCGGCCGAGACACCTCAGCTATCTCCGGGTCTATCAGTTCCCTCATGCGGATAAGCAATTTCTCGGTCCGTTCCTCGATGTCGTCACCCGCCACCTCTATGAGGCGGGCGCCCGTTGCCGCAGCTTTATATTGGAAGCCGCCCTTGGTGATAGTTGGGTCGATCTTCCTCTTACAGCCCGTAAGCACCTCTGCATAGCTCACGCCCCTCTCTATTGCTTCGGGTCGTAACTTCAGCACTACCGCACCCGACTTGGGTGGGCGGAGCCTCACTGTCTTTTTGGCTTTTGGAACCACTTCCTTCTGTAAGGGGCCCTTAGGTTGTTGAGGGTTTCCGTTTGACGTACCTTTGGTTCTAGCTCCCCGCTTAGTGACGGTCACCCAACCTTCCTCGGCAGAGGTGGCGGGTGGAGCAGGTTGCGTCGCCTGTTGAGCGTTGGCCTTCGCTTTCTTCGCCTCCTTCTTTTTTAACTTGCGCCCCTTGGATGTAGTAGGGGCGTCAATTGAGGGCCCAGCAACGGGTTTCGTCGAGCCCACTGCTTGTAATCTTCTTATGTCTGCCTCAAGAGGCGGTCGTAAACTTTCCTCCGGCGGTAATCGACGGGCAAGCCCTTCTATGCGGGCGCTCACCATTGTGCCTGTCTGGTCAATGATAAGCCGCTGGAGCTCTTCGATGGTCATCTCACCCACGATGGTCGGGCGACGCTCCCGACTAGGAGGTGTACGAGCACGTTTGAGCTCATCTCGAACAAGCTTTAATTCACGCCGCAAGCCCCCTACATCCTCTCGCAGTTTGGCGTTATCTGCAGAGATTCGGGATATTTCTGTTTTGGCGCATTTGAGTTCCGTCATCGTACTTTGGAAGCGGCTTTCCAACAGCTTCGTGTCCTCATTTACATTGCGCTCGTCGAGGCCTCCCAACATTTTTGTAATTAAGGTCGCCGCGTCCTTAAGGGCTTTGATAGAAGTCCCTTTAAGATTGCCCGACTTCGCGGCGACTTCAAGTACAACAGCGACACCGTCCATGCCCCGATGGAGCACCTCACAGGTCGCCATTTTCTCCACGTCTTCCTCTGGTGGCTCATCTAAACTGTCTCTCAGTCTTGGGGGTGGCCGCACTTTTTGTACGACCTCCTCAATCTTGTCCTCCGCTTCCAGTCTTTCTTGGAGCTCTCTGGCCGCTCTAGCTTCAGCTACCATTCTGCCCACTCCTACATATTGCCCAGTTGTTGGCGGGCGACCTCTACCACGTCTCTCTCCGGCTATTACTTTGGCCGGGGTCGTAATACTCTCACCGGAATCGTCTGACTCGTCCGAGAGGGTTCGCTCAAAAGAGCGAGGACGTTTACGCCCAGTCCTGTCCGATGTGTAGGAGTCCACAGTCATCTGAGATGAGCAGGATGAACTGCGACTCCTGGTTGTCCTATCCGATCCTTCAGTTTCCTTCAATGTCATAGACACTGGTGGTGGTGTCCGTGTAAGTCGGAAAACTGGCTCCCGTGATGTTGACG